CACAGGAGCTCATTTTCCAAGACCCTCTGTAGTAGCCCTCGACTTGGATCGACAGAAATAACCCCAAATAGCCCTTAATGATTTAGCTCACACACATAAATCTGCGTTTTGTGCTGATTAGGTGAAGTAGGCTGCAAAGAGTATGGGACAAACAACAATTTGGACATATATGAGATGTGTATTACTTTTGAGCACTCTAAAGCCAGGAGCCGAGGTGCGCGTCGTGGGGGATCGCGTGCCACAGTCCAGGGGAGTCTCTCTGGAGGTGGCGGAGGACGGGGAGGCACGGCGGGCGAGCTCTGGCGGAAATAAGTGCTTTACATATCCATTGCGATGAACCGAGCAGAACCGACTCGATTGTGACGTGATGGACAGAAGGAGCCGACGGTGGCCGAGTCACATACTGCTCGTCTTCTCACGGTCGTTGCCTTTACTTTCTCCTGTCTCTTGGCCACCGGTCCGCCGCCGCCGGTCCCGCCGCCGGGCTCCCGCGGCTGCGGCTGGCAAACCCAGCAGTCTGCGCTGCTCTGATAGGAGCCGCCCCCCGCCTCCTCCTCGCTTCCCCGGCTGCAACAAACGTCTCGGAAACCCGAGCAGTCCATATCCGCGGGTACGACAGGCGGAACGGCACCCATTCGCCAAACTGGTGGCCTCATTCGTCAAAATTAATACAAATTTGAATTTCTACCTCGTAATTGTTTCTGTATGACAACTCACGAACACCTGCCGCGGCCACTTTTTTCTACCTAAAGCTTGCAGTTTGCGGTGGCAGATGCCTGCGGAGCGACATAGGCGCTGACCGGACACACGCCACGACCAGGTTACAGGAACTACGACGGTGCGCCCTCGCGTCGGCCCCGGCGCGAAATTACACTATATTGTGTAAAACAACCTCATAACCCCAAGACCAAAGGTGAAAACACGATGCCATTTCGACGTCGAATTTTCATTCCCGAAGTCGCTTTGATATCGTTTTCTCATTACGTTTGGCAGCAGCGGCAGCGCCCACCACTGCTCCGCGTCTCCCGCGTACAGGTCTCCGCGGGAGGAGCCCCCCCCCCCCCTCCCCACTCCGCGACGTGCAGCACTACACGACACGTGATGTCGCCTCGGCTCCGGCGGTGTGTGCTCCGGGGAATGTTTCTCCCGCTGGCCCTAACTCCTTTTTTTTTCCACTCCTAATGACAAAAATTTGGAGTAGTGTGTTGCGGTCCGTGTGGTGCGCTCGGCCTGCAGGCGGTGTAGCAATTAGCCATGCGCGCGCAACACGCGTGCGGCGGGCGGGCGTGCGGCCGCGTCTGTATTAATTGCAATGCACGCGCATGCGCACGCGCACGCGAGCCGGCCCTTATCAAAATATAACTCGCGTGATCATAAATTTCTTAAATTACTGATGACAGGGGGCATCGGAGGCAGCGAAATACCTGAGACGTGGGGCGAAAGACTAGAGGGGTAGATAATTCACCTGCTAAGTGTAGACCCCTCATTCTGCCCAATTCAAACTGATTCTAACCAATTCGATTTAATTCAATGCAATTCAGAAATAATTCAAACCAATTATAAGACAATTCAACCAAATCAATTGAGTACAATTCAAGGTAATTGACGGTTCAAGTCAAGTCAAGCCAATTCGTGTCAATTCACGCTAATTCAGTAAAATAAAATCACAACAATTCAAACCAATTAAAAACCAATTCAACAAATTAAATACAGTCCAATTCAAGCAAATTCAAACTCAATTCATAAAATTTGTACACTCAATTCAGCATATCTATAGATATACGCCTCGAAATCGAAGGAAGACAAACACACATTACAAACAAACACACATACAGACAGACAGACAGACAGACAGACAGACCAAGATCAAGGGATCAATTCGGATCAATTGGAAAGTGCATTCGCACTAACGTGGCCTCTCAATTAGAAATGTGCCACACCTGCTGACCTAATTTATTACAGTGACGCTCGCGCGCGCTCACACACACACACACAACGTGGGCGTGCGCGTCGCTCCTCCTCACGCAGAGCAGGAGAGCAAAGCTGGGGAGTAACGGGGACTCGAACCCACGGCCGCACAGCACAAACACACGCGTGCGCGACATCCTGTTCCACTACATGATGCAGTAAAAAAATAAAAATCTTCTGGAGAATTTTGAAGTGGAGCATGTTGTAGAAAAATTTTTAGGTTATTACTTTGCCTTTGACCAACCTACATACCCCAACCTATATGCCCGTAACATCGGGACGACACTCTTGTAGGTTATTGCTGAGCTTAACTTGAACTTGAAATTAAACTTTAACTTTAAATGCTCAGCTCTGTCAGGAAGCGCAAGGGGACACCGCCCGGAAGACGGCGTGAAGTGAGGCGCCTGGCGTGAGACGTGGGATGTGAGGTGGACAGGCATGCCAACCAAAATCGCGAAAACATTTTAATTTTAGCGCGCCGCAGGCCAAGGTAGACGCACATTTAGCTCAGCTTATTCACACGGTTTTAACGTGCGTCTACCTTGTAGTTTGATACTGAGCAGCGACTAGATGACCCTTTGCTGGTCTTACGCATCACTCACGGTTTTCAACCTTAACAATTCTACCCTTTACCGTCGGGTTCGGGTAGAGAGGGCCACAAGCCGGAATGTGTCAAAAGCGTAATGCTTACTACTGTACACCGATCTCCAAACAGCTCAGTACGGCGGGGGCTCAGAATGTGATGGCTCGTCCGCGCGCAGCTTGAGTGTACCGTTTTCTGCAATCAATGCCAGTAGTGAGGCCCCGACCGACTCCCTGCGCCCTCCTCTCGTTGTCCCGGCCGACCAGCAGCGCATCCCGACAACGCCACCCGCGGGACGTGCCGACGTGCCGCGGTCTGCGCTGGCTCTTGCGATGGGTTCAGTTGGACGCGGATTACGGACAAGAAGAAGAAGAAGAACCATTTGTGGGGCGCACGGTAAAAGCTCGTACATATAGCACTTCAAGAGCAGAAGGGGTAATTTCCTATAGTCTATCCGGAAATCGTTTGGCATTATCATTATCGTGCTAGAAAATCTGGATTCCGTGCCACGAAGGTAGTATTATTCTAAGTTTTATCTACAGCCGAAAAACAAGACCTTTCGAGGTCGCAACCTCTGACCCCCCGATCGGAAAGTCATCATCGGCAATAATTTCCATTCAAGATTATCTGGCCTCGCTGGGTTTGTTTCATTATTCAGGGCTGGGCCATAATTATCACGTCTGCATCGGGAGGCGCCGCGCCGCGCCGCACCACCGGGCGCGGGGGCCTAGCCGCGGGGGCGCGCCGCCGGCTGCCGCGCTGCCGCCGACAGGCTGCCGCTGTCACGGTTTCCTTATCAAGCGTGCCGTGACCCCGAAATCTGGTTGGCGCCCCGCTTACCTCCTTGCTCCTCTCCTCTCTGCAGCCCCACGCCTCGTGCGGGGCGGCCGCGGCTCGCCACCCCGCCCCGCCCCGCCCCGCCCCCGCCTCGGTGGCACGATACGCAGTCTGCAGCGTGTCTGCTAAGAGGAGTGAGGGTACCCGCCGGCCCGCCGGTTGGTTCCCGTCCCGCAGAGGCGTGGCGGGGCGCGGCGTCCTTTGCGCCCTTCGCCGGGTATTTGCATGCCGCCCGTGCGGCCCGATAGTGGCGCAATCCACCTGACGAATCAATTAAACATAAGCGAGGGTGTCGGAGCGGGGAGGGCCAGGCCGGGCGGGGGCCGCATTACCGCTTCAAGGCAGAGCCAGGGCAGAGCGGCCGCAGCGAAAGGGCGGGGGCAAGAG